AAAAAAAAAAAAAAAAAACTACTTCTTCTCCCCCATCAGTGGTGGATTTAGAGTGGGGGGGCTGACCCCCCCCCCCCCCTTTGGTTTCTGAAAAAATATATCATGCCAATATTCCCCTCTTGAAATTAGAATTTTGACTAGCTAAATAAATCATAGTTCTAAACCGTACCAAAGGCACTGTTTGCTCTCCAAAACACCCAAAATTTTCGGGGCCCTTGAGCAGGCCCCAAACTCCACACCATGGGGCGACGATCGGCTTCACATATGAGGCCAGTCATCCCGGAACCCCCCCCCCCCCAATTCAAATAATCCTGGATCCGTAATGATGACGATGATGATGATACCTTGATACTTCATGTGCCTTCACAGATTAAGAAAATTGTCATTGTCAAAGAAGGCAGGAAATTTACTTTGGAAGTGTAGATGTTTAAACTTTCATTTTCACATTCTGTATTTTGAGCAACTTGTCGTTCAAATAGGAGAACGCAAATTTTCAGTCTTTGGATAAATGCTGTTTCATGATGTTAATAGTTTGAGAAACGACTTGTTTTCATTGTTGTTTTCTACGTGCTAGCTGTGGTTTAAATTTCTTAAATTATTTCTGATTCAAGAAAACAGGTACCAGGCCAGTGAAGCAAACAATCATAACCTTATGATCTAAACTGCATAAAACTGAAAAATATATATTATCAGTATAAATACCAATTCTGTAAAACAGAAAAAATTCAAACATATAAATTTCAAATAGGTAAAAACTTAATGCCATCCCCATTCCACCTCAGTCCCACAAGCTAGGGTAATTAATATGTAGTTACAACATAGTCTAATGTTCAACAAATAATTTCAGAAACCTGGTAAAAAAAATGGTTATAAAATGTGCTTCTGTTGTAAAATGCAGCCCTAAAACTGCTAAGAACATAATCTTTTAAACAAAAATATGATCAGGCCCATTTTTAATCCTGAGTACTTGATCACTACATGATGGAAAACAAAAAAATTTTTTTTCATGTCCCAACAGCAGTGTATCAATAAAGGCACATGCATACTAACATTACAAAAAAAAACAAGAATATTTTTGAAAAAAATAAGCTTTTCAAGCTCATTTTCAGTACTGTGTTACATTTGAATTTAAGGAGTGACTCCAAATGAAACAGGATATCTGTTTTCTAGATATTGCAGAAACATTGTTCAAAACATACCTAATAATAACAGAAAAGGAATGCTCTAAACTAGATACTGCAGGAACAAACTTCAAAGCATGCTTAAACATACAAAAAAAAAAAACTTTAACAACTCCAACCAGGCCCCTTTTCAAACTTGTATTTTGGACTTGTATTTTTGACTATCTCAAAGACAAGAACTTAATACAAAAACTGTTTTCATTATCTCAGTAATAAGAAAAGTTTACAGCATCAACGATGCTGTGTACAGACTACAGTGTACAGTGTTGGTTAACGGAGAAAGTGCATGGCAATGGCGTTGTGTACAGCCACACTAACGCTAGCAAGTGATGGCTATATGTCTAGACACATAGTGTCTGATCATTAAAACATAAAAATACCAAGCAATCTACATATGGCTCCCCCTGGATTGGACCAACAGTATAACTAGAAAAGCACTCAGAGATCACAAACCTCCGCCAAGGCAACTCAATTCTCATTNTGTTGTGTACAGCCACACTAATGCTAGCAAGTGATGGCTATATGTCTAGACACATAGTGTCTGATCATTAAAACATAAAAATACCAAGCAATCTACATATGGCTCCCCCTGGATTGGACCAACAGTATAACTAGAAAAGCACTCAGAGATCACAAACCTCCGCCAAGGCAACTCAATTCTCATTCTCATCAATCATTTATCAAATAGTTAATCAATCAATTAATCAATTCTCATTATTACTAATGAATTATTTATTAACTAATTAACTAGCTAAATCCTCCTCATCTTCATTAGTTAATTAACTAAACTTATAAATTGGTCAATTGCTTAATTAACTAATTAACTGACTACTTAATTACTACCCAAATATAGCCCATTTCCAACCTATCCTGAACATTTTTACAAATTGTTTTAAGTTATTTTATAATGTTGCTAACCGACATACATACAAATAATGAACTAATTATTAAACTTACAATTAATCATCACTAACATCTATATACTTTAAAGTTAGCCCAGTCCTGAAAATTGAACAAACAAATTAAACAGAACAGACAAACAAACAGAAAAACAGAGGTGAAAACATAACCTCCATGGCAGAGGTTATAAGAAGAAAGGGACACTTTCACAGGCAGATATTGGTTTTATCAACAGTAAGATCCTTTCACATTATGCACCTTAAAGGTCAACCAAGTGCAAAGCTTTGCATTTGTCTTTTTCGGTGAAATGTTGCCAAAACAGATGAATTGTAACACACCAGTTCCAATCTTAGTGTTCCAATATCATGTATCCAATGTGACAAAGATATGCATGTCAATATATGGATTACTACAATATTCATATTGACAGCTGTATTTGGTTTGACAGTATTAGGTCTTTTTAGCAAGCAAAGTCAGCTTGCAAATCTAGCAGTGAAAATCATAAGCCAGAACTTCAGCTATTGACTGACTTACTGCTAAATCATCATACAGACAGTAACCAATGACATCATTATTTTTC